AGAATGAACCTCCTTCCTTGAACACCCGCGACTGGCGTTATTTAGGCGTCTATTACAGCACTCATGTTATTCCGCCCCATGGTAGTTAGTTGCTTGAGAATCTGTCCTCAGACAGACTGTGGGGTCCTTGAGGGCAGCTGAGTTCCCAAGCAGTGAAATTGCTTGCCCACGATCACAGAAATCATGGTGGTAGAGTCAAGACTTTGAAATTTTAGTCTGGAGTTCTTTCTTCTTCCTCACGCTGCCTCATCTAAAGGACTTGTCCTTTAAATGTCAAGCATCTTCACAAAGCCAATCGCTGCTAAGAGAAAAGCTACCCGAGGAAAATCATACTTTGTCAACTGTCTCACCAACACCGAAGGATTCTTTTACCTGTGGGTCCCCACAACCAACATTATCACACATGACAAATGGGGAGAACAAAGGGAAAGTCCACCAATGGGCATCTGTTTGCCCCCAAATTATCAGTGTTTTGAGACCAGCGGGGATATTCTTGGATCCTTTATCTTTTTTGTTTACCAAATTGCAGACCATCAGGAAAAGACACCACGTATATTATCTATGACTGAAAACACATTATCTAAATCTAGTGATTTAAAACAACAAACTTTTATTGTCTCTCACACAGTTCCTGTGGGAACCTGGGAGTGGACGAGGTGTGTGATTCTGGGATAAAGTCTCCCGGGAGGCTGCAGTCCCACTGTCAGCTCGGGATGCGGTTGTCTGGAGGTCTCTGGTGCCGGGGCATCCCTGCTACAGTGGCTCACGCACAAGCCTGGAGAGCTTGTTCTGGCTGTTGCCATGTGGACCTCTCCCTTTCACTGCCTCATAACAAACAAGGTGGTTGGCTTTCCCCAGAATGAGTACTCCACAAGGGAAACCAGGAGGAAGTGCCTTTTGTTTTTTATATGTTTTAAAATCTTTATTATTGGAAGTATTACACATGTCCCCCTTTTTCCCTCGTTGACCCCTTCTAACCCATCCCTGTCCCCGACCCCAGGCCTTTACCACCCTATTGTCAATGTCCATGGGTTATGCATGTATGCATACAAGTTCTTTGGCTGATCTCTTCCCTCCCACCCAACCACCCCCCGCCTTCCCTGCGAGATTTGATAGTCTGTTGCAGGCTTCTATGTCTCTGGGTCTATTTTGTTTATTTTGTTCATAAGATTCCACAGATGAGTGAGATCATGTGATACTTGTCTTTTCCTGCCTGGCTTATTTCACTTAGCATAATACTCTCTAGGCCCATCCATGCTGTCTCAAACGGTAAGAGAGTCTTCTTTTTTACTGCTGCATAGCATTCCATGGTACAAATGTACCACAGCTTTTTTATCCATTCACCTACTGATGGGCACTTGGGCTGTTTCCAGATCTTAGCTATTGCAAATTGTGCTGCTATGAACATATGGGTGTATACATTCTTTCTGATTGGTGTTTCAGGTTTCATAGGGTATATTCCTAGAAGTGGGATCATTGGGTCAAATGGCAGTACCATTTTGAAGAAACTCCATACTGTCTTCCATAGCGGCTGCACCAGTCTGCATTCCCAGCAGCAGTGTGCTAGGGTTCCCTTTTCTCCACATTCTCACCGGCACTTGTCATTTGTTGATTTATTAATGTAGCCATTCTGATGGGTTTGAGGTGATACCTCATTGTCCTTTTAATATGCATCTCTCAGATGATCAGTGACTTTGAGATTTTTTTCATGTCTCTTAGCCATCTTTATGTCCACTTATGTCTATTTAAGTCCTTAGCCCTTTTTAAAATTAGATAGTTTGTTTTCCTCTTGTTAAGTTGTATGAGTTCCGTGTGTGTGTGTGTATGTATGTGTGTGTGTGTGTGTGTGTATACTTTGGAGAAGTGTCTATTCAGGTCCTTTGCCCATTTTTTAATTGGATTATTTGTCTTTCTTTTGTTAAGTTGTATGAGTTTCTTTATATATTTGGATATTAAGCCTTTATCAGATGTATCATTGCCAAATATGTTCTCCCTCAGGGTGGGGCAATTGCTTCCCCCCAGGCAGAAGCTGCCTCAATGGTAAAGACCTGCAGGAAACGATGTCCTCCACGGACTGCGTGAGGGAATGACTCAGCACAGGAAACCGGGGTGTCTGCCTTCTGAGCTCTAACCCCAGAGCCCCCAACCCTGGCTTCTGCTCACACAGCTCCAGTCCACTCTGCCCTCCTTCCGCCTGGGCCCAAGCTGAGTGGCTGCACAGGAAATTTTATGTGTTGGCCCTTTAAGAGGGTGGCCACTGTCTCTCCCTGGCAGATAGCACCCCCTGCTTTCCACAGCCAGATGTTACGTGGGCACCTGCCTGAGTTCTGGAGCTCTCTGCTGGGGAGCCCAGCTTGGGGCTTAGACCCCGGAGTTCTCAGTGGCAACCCCCACAGCTGAGATGGCTCTCGGGAACTTCAGCTGCGGCCTGTGGGGCCCGGCCAGCCCTTTCGCGCCACCGCCCCTCTTACCAGTCTCCCTGCGGTCTCCGCCTCTCGTCCTCAGGTATCAGGGTTCTCGCCAGCTAGACAGCTGATTATTCAGGACGGTTTTTCTGTATTTCAATTATAATTCCAGTTTGGTCCTGCGAGCGTGTCAATGTAGCGTCCACCTACCCGCCGCCATTTTGGAATCGGAAGTGCCTTCTATGACGCAGTCTGCGCAGTCACACACCATCGCAGCTGCTATGTCCTATGTTTACCCGCAGTGGCCCCTATGTCCAGTCCACTCTCAAGAGGAGGAGAATTAAGCTCTCTCGCTTTGTTAAAAATGTATTTTTATTGATTTCAGAGAGGAAGGGAGAGGGAGAGAGAGAGAAACGTCAATGATGAGAGAGAATCATTGATTGGCTGCCTCCTGCACGCCCCACACCGGGGCACGTGTCCTGACCGGGAATTGAACTGTGACCTCTTGGTTTATAGATCCACCCTCAACCACTGAGCCACATCAGCTGGGCTAGGCTCTCCCTTTTAAAGGAACAAGTGTCAGAGGATTTGTAGACATACGGGGATGGGCAAAAGTAGGTTAAGAATAATAACAAATAGCACGGTAATTAATAAATACATAATAATAGAGAATAGACTGTTTAGCATACTCACAACTATATAGCTACTTTTGCCCACCCCCTGTATTTTAAAACCACCACACCAACAAGAGTTGCAAGAGACAAGGATGCTAATTAAATCATTGAAAACAGGACATGTTTTGGAGGTGAAAATCCACTTAGGACAAGAACAAGTGTTAATTGGAAATTCTGAAAGAGATCAGGAATTTAAATTTACATGGGACCTGAAGTCCTAAATGATTAACATAGCCATCCTTGAACTTCCTGCAGTAAAAAACTTCTGAACAAAAGAACTTTTGAAAGAAAACTTCTATTGCTGCTGCTGCAATTAGGAGAATAGATTCAAATATATTTGAATTAAGAGTAAGCAATTTAGAGGTCATATCCAATGTTTTAACTTATATCCTTCCAAGTTAACTTAACTTTTCTTTTTTTAAGCCTCTGAATTCTCTGAGTGTTGCAATGCCCCAACGTGACCAAGTGGGTCAAATTCCATCTCCAGTCTTCACATCTTTTTTTTTTTCTTTTTCTGAAGGTTTATATTCATCTCTATTCTGTCTGAAAGCAAGATATCATGATCTAATTGCCTAAGAATTTATTTCCAAATAGATGTTGACAAAGTCTGAAAGTCTCAGAAAGACAAGACAGATCATATTCATTCCTTTTGCTGAAGTTTTTTTTTTTTTTAAATTAAAAAACAACAACCATGAAACAACAAACTATGATCCCCAAAGAACTTTCCTCTTTGGCACCTGGGGTATTCAGTCAATCAACAAGCATGTCTTGAACATACGATAAAAATAAGAGGTTCTCTAGGACTCATACATTTGGGAGCTAAACAGAAAACAGATGAGGATAAATACAATAATCACAAAAGTGGGATTGAGAGAGAGGAATGATCTGAGGCTACATCCAGGCAGTTCTATGCGATGAGATGGATTTATGAAGGAAAATGTCCCAGAAAAGATAAGCCTTCCCCTGGAACTTAAATTATATTCTATTTGGGGGGAATTGGCCAAAGGCTGGGAGATAAGAGAAGAAAGACTGCATGTCTGGGGCTGGATCGCCAGGGTAGGCCTGAGTATAGTTGGAGATGAGATTGGATGGGTAGGTAGGGGATAGTGATTAAGATGGATTTGAGCAAACTGAGCTGCAAAGAGTTTGGTGTGGTTGGAGCAAATCCTTTGCAAGAAATAAATTTTTTTCCCAGTAAACTGCTTCTCAAAACAAGACAAAACAACAACCTTTTCCTATTAATAGACTCTTAGAAAGCTACATCTGTTCTATGGACCTTGGAGGGAGATGTGGGTTTAAGGTCCTACCTCACCTTCCAGGGCACCATCCAAGCACCATTAAGACTAAAAGTCTCCCCACCCCCAAATAAAAAATAAAAGCCCGGCCTGGGTGGCTCAATGGTTGAGTGTCAACCTATGAACCAAGAGATCACGGTTCAATTCCCATCAGGGCACATGCCTGGGTTACAGGCTCGATCCCCAGGATGGGGTGTGCAGGAGGCAGCCGATCAATGATTGTCTCTCATCATTGATGTTTCTATCTCTCTCTCTCCCTCTCCCTTCCTCTCTGAAATCAATAAAAACATATTTAAAAAATAAACATTAAAAAAGACTAAAGACCCACCAACTGTATATGGAGGAAAGGCCAGAGGGAGGCCGGTGACTGACTCACTAACTGACGGATTAATTCATTCAACAAGCTCACAGTGAACGCCTTTGGGTTGGAAAGGCAAGTTGGATTAATGTTCATGGGGTGGGACAAGATGGCAGGCAAGGCTCCATTTATTCAGCATAAGTGTCATCTCTCTCTCGCTCTCTCTCTGTGTAGAAAAGTTATTGAAAGACTTTCCACCAGCACATATTGTGATCCTGCTATGTATGTGTCAGGCACTGTGCTAGGTAGGGGCCTGGGATACTGAAATGACGGAAACATCCTATGGACAATGTGACAACAAACTGAAATAGTTCCTCTCCCGCTTCTGACTTCTGCTTTGCCAAAAGGGGAGCGATTTCTCCTGGAATGGAGAGTACAAATGTGCAGCAGGTGAGCCGACTCCTATGTGCTTTCCAGCTGTTGTACCAGCTGTGTCACAATGACAGCGGCCTCCACCTGTCTGACTCCCGCCGCCCCTAACCTCCCACGTCGGAACCAAGTTATTTTTAGACTCCTGTCATGGTGGAGGAAGTTCTTGAGCACTGAATTTGGAACCAAATGCAGTCCAGTTTCTGGAAACCATGTCCGAGGTGGCCAGTTCAGCAACAACGGACACAACGTGAAAAAGGCAGCCATCGTCAGGGAATGTCCCAGCTGCTGTCCGTGGAGGAGGCAGGTCTCTCACTCCAGAGGGGATGAGGAACTTGGACACAGCAAGGGACCGACCCAAAGTCATCTGACGACATAGGGGACAAGCCAGGGCTGCTCAAATCTCTTGGCTCTGAACCCACGCTCTCCTTACGAAGCCAGCCATGACATAACCCACCAAACCAGTGCAGACTGCACTCTCCCTCAGCCAGAGGCCTGCTGGCTGCGCGGCTCCCGCACACACACCCTCATGGTTCCTGGTGGTCGACACTCATCACCCTCTGACTTCATTTTCCTCCCCGCTTTGCTGAATGGCTGCTGCCCAGAGCCAACATCTCTTTCCCAAAAAGGGAACGTGCCAGAAGGGATTCTGGAAACGGCCTTGATATCTGTCAGGAGCCAGATGATTCACAGCAATGAACCAACACACATCACAGGGATGCCTGATCGGATTACCAATTAGCCACCTCCACCTCTGGAAGGTGCTCGGAAAGAGGAGAAAAGGTGGTGTTTAGTTTGGGCAAATACCAAAAGGGCTTTATCTTTCTCATCAAGGCATCAGCACGGCCCATTAGCCCTCCTCCGAGCCGTTCCACGGGACTTCTCTCTCCAGATGCTCAGCAAGAGGAAACTTGTTGTGCAAACATTGGGTTATTATGTCTGAGCTACAGAAGCGCCTCTGTGTCAGCGAGAGGGAGAAACTGGCTGACTCGCGTCTGTGTTTAATGATGTCTCTGCTGCCGGGAAGTTTTGGAAGCTGCAGGGAAAGCGTTTCCCTGTGAAAAGGAGGCTGACCTGGGATTTACCATCTTACCTTCACCCGACAGGAGCGTCTCACTTTGGGTTGGCCCTGGGAGGGACAGGCAGACGTCTCCTCCATGGACCCAGCAACAAGGGTCCCAGCAACAAGGGGTCTCTGGGCTCCTCTTGAAAATAAGCCCACGCATGAGCAGTGTTCGCCCTAGGGCAGGGAGGGTGGCTGAGCCTGGCCTGTGCTGCCTGGATCTGGTGGGAAAAGGCGGCTGTGCTCAGAGCCCGCCGGAGTCCAAGGTCAGCCCTGTGCCTGGGATTCGAGAGCAGGACCCTTGTTTGGTGCCTGTCCTCTGGAGGTGAAGGAGGGATGAGCAGAGCGGGGCTGCCACTAGCTTATACCATGATTTTGTGAGTCTGGAAAAGGCAGCCCATAGGGGCCAGGCGAGATGGCGAGGGGCACCTTGCGTGTGTAGCTCAGCCCTGGGCACAGGGTTGGTGATTCCAGCCTCTGCTCCCTCTCCTCCATGCCTTCAGACCAATGCTGGGCTGCTCAGTGACTCCAGGGGCTCAGGCCAAGGGGAGAAGGAAGGTGGATTCCCCCAGTTGCTTAGAAAGATGGAAGGTGCTTGTTTACCCTCACCTTCCCCATCTCCAAGGCAAAGGGTCAGGAGTAGAGTTGGCCACCAGTGAAGTAGACGTTTACAAGTACACAAGCACACACACATATACAAAGAGGCATGGCGTGCATGAACGAAGACACAAACACTCACATATTTATACAGAGATGTGCACACATGCTCACACATGTATATAGGCATACTCACAAGGCAAGCATGCAACCCCACATGCAGGTATGCATGCATGTACATATGCGTGCCACACATGAACAAGGACATACACATCAATGCATACACCTTATTTGCAGACATGCATGCATACCTGCATAACTATACACATGCATACACAGGTATGCATGAATGCACAGAAACACACAATGCATCCACATAAGCATGTTAGCATGTGCCTTCATACATGTGCCCTCATCCACACTTTCATATATATACACCCAACCTACACACTTGAGTTTTCAGGCTGCACTCTTGTCATAGTCATGGCTCTGGCATTCATTCTAGAGATTTGCCCTTTATAAGGATGGCTGGATAAGAGAGAGTGTGCGTGTGTGCCTGTGCGTGTGTGCCTGTGCGTGCGTGTGTGTGTGTGTGTGTGTGTGTGTGTGTGTGGTGTGATTTGTCCTGGACTATACAGCCTCCCAGGGGTGCCCTTGTTGCTGTCATGTGGTAGCCAGTGTTTGGCTCATTTGTATCAAAACTAAGAAAGCACCACTGCCCTGCAAGTGTAAAGGGAGGGGATTGCAACAGAAGGGCTCTGTCTCTGAAATGGTTTGTAAGTGACAACCATGTCTTGGGGGAAAAGAGAGAGAGCGTTGCAGGGAGGAATGGAACTTAATTCTGCCCATTTCAGCCTTAAGCAGGGAAGCTGTAAACACAATGGAGTTATGTGTTTAATTGTGGACCTATGTGTTTAATTTATGCTTATAAGATGTTAAGTATACATGTTCGGAGGGGTGTGGAGGCAGAGAGAGGAGGGGGGCGAGGACAAGGGCGAGGGTGAGGCAGAGGGAGAGGGAGAGGGAGAGGGAGAGGGAGAGAGAGAGAGAGAGAGAGAGAGAGAGCTAAATAGAGGCATCTGTCCCTGGGCGAGCATGAGCTGACAATGGTGAGAATGAAAGACGTGGTAGCTGTTGTTGCCTTGGTGGCTCTCAGTCCCCACGTGCCTCACTCAGAGTGTCTCCCGCATCCCTGAGTGTGATTTCGCCATTAACAGATGCTTTTTCACATTGTCTGCCGCCCAAGCACACACCACCTTCTTCATCTGGTGCTCAACCGGGGAAAGCAGCCCAAGGCTGCGAAGAGGGAGGGAGAGCTGGCTGGGCTGCAATTTCTAGAAAATGGCTTGTCTGTCTCCAGCCTGGCACCTCCCACTGGGATTTTCAGGGGCAATTTGGACTCGAAGCAATTTTAGCTTTATGAGCTGCTTTTAGATCAAAGCCCTGTGGAAGGGTTACTGTACTGTCTTTGCATTGTTGCTCTTGTAGAAGCATCTTAGTCTCTGAGACTGTCAGCTCTTAAGAGTGAGAACTAAGTCACAGAGGGTGTGGCCTGGCCCTACCTCACCCTTCAATAGAAATCGGAGTCCTTCTCTTTCTGTGCACAGGTCTCGGCTCTGCCCTGGGTGGAGGCTGCCTTCTCCCGGGGTCTGACCCCCCACCGCTGTAGCATCACCAGGCTCCCTGGCCCCCCGGGGGGTCATGCCTTGGGGCTGAGTCTGTCTGGTAGACCCAGTAGCGTGTCTCCCTGAGGAGTGCAGGGAGTTGTGTCATTGCACGCTGCTGCCAGGCGTGAGGAGAGTGTAGGGCAGCTTGGCAGTACGTGCTGGTGCAGCAAACCCCTGAACATGTACTGACTCTAGGAAAATGCGTGGTGAACATGAATCCCACTGACATTTTGGAAACACGGCCGATTCCCCCTTTCCATGCGGTGGCGTTCAAACGGCTGACATCACAGTTGCCTGGTGGCCCTGAAAGATGGTTAAAATGAGCCTGAAGCCACAGACAAGCCAAGCTGGGGGCATCCAGGCCCCCCGGGGTGATTACCTTGTCCTTCTGCTGGGAGTGCGCCCCTGGAACAGCTCACATTCGAGGGGCCTGCGGGGCTGCTGTGGCCTGACGTCCTTAGGCCGTCCGGGCCCCTCTGGCCCTCTGGACTTTCTCTTCCCTCGATCAGGGTCAGTGGCGGGGTCACCTTCTCTGCTGCGGCATCTCCGTCTTCAAAAGCAAAAGGAGAAAAAGCATGAGTGAGAGAACTTTTGAGTCAGCAAGAAGGAGAGGCAGCCTCTTTTCTAACTGGTTGGTGGCCCCTCGTGTGCAGGTTGGTTTATTCCCCTTGTTCTCGAGTTTGCCCCTCTTCCAGCCCTGCTAAGGGGCAGAGGCCAGGTAACACCCCACATGGTGCTAAGGGGCAGAGGCCAGGTAACACCCCACATGGTGCTAAGGGGCAGAGGCCAGGTAACTCCCCACATGGTGCTAAGGGGCAGAGGCCAGGTAACTCCCCACATGGTGCTAAGGGGCAGAGGCCAGGTAACTCCCCACATGGTGCTAAGGGGCAGAGGCCAGGTAACTCCCCACATGGTGCTAAGGGGCAGAGGCCAGGTAACTCCCCTGGCCAAGATGAAGCTCCTCTTGGCTCGAAGAGTGGCTTTTCTTCAGATCCTCCCCGATCTGAGCTGTGGTGCTTGTTATTCTCGCTCTACTGATGGCCTCCTGATACCCAGGAAAGACCAGAGAGCCTGCAGGGTCCTCCCAGCCCCAAGTCTGCCGGTTCTTACGGAGGAAGGCCCTCTTTAGAACTCCTGGGGTCATTGGCTATGAGGTCCAACCACAGATCAATTTCCCTAAGCCAAACCAACGCTCACATGGCTCCTCAAGGTCGTAGGGTACAAAGTAGCACCTCCCGAGGGTAGGTAGAGGGCAATGGGGTTGATGACAATGGCCTACCTCTGTTCTTTCTCTAACTCTCTTTTAAAACTAGAAGGGACTGCTCTAAGTCTTTAAAAAATATTTTTACTGATTTTAGAGAGGGGAAGGGAGAGGGAGAGAGAAACATCGATCGGCTGCCTTCTGCATGTCCCCTCGCCTGCAACCTGGGCTTGTGCCCTGACCAGGAATCAAACCGGCAACCTCCCAGTGCATGGGGCAATGCTCAGTCAACTGAGCCACACCGGTCAGGGCCCAGGTAATCCAAGTTATGGAGACCTTGTCTTAATCTCATTCTGTGAGCGTGGTCTTTATTTCATGTTCAACACGCTGCTGCTGTGCGTGTAAAAGCTGGCTTCCCACACAGTCTCCAAGTATCAAAAGCTACTTGTTCAATACAAAGGGGAAAAGGGCATCTTTACGATGGAAAAATCTAGCCTCCTTCGACCAAATGATAAAATTTAACATCACCTGTAATGGGACAAGCTGTAACAAATGAAGTAAGTGCAAAGGGATATTTTGTGTCCCTTGGTGTGATACCCTGAGGAGGACACATCACCTGCTATTCTTGCCAAAAACGTTCGACCAGAATCTAATCACAAGGAAGTAGACACATCTAAATTGAGGGCCATTCTGTAAAGCAAACAGCCTATTCTTTTCAAAAATGTCCATGTCAATGGGCTTGGAAGACAACCCCAAGCTCTGCGTGAAAATGCAACAAGGTATTCGGGACGTCTTAGGCTGGCTTCCCCCTGGCAGGGTGGCAGAGGAGGGACAAGCTCCAGACACTCGGTCCTGCTGGACATGGCAGCTCAAAACAAGTGGAGGGCAGTGCGAGGTGAGCCATGCCCAAGACTCGTGTCACCGGCGTTGCCGTGGCTCGGGCTGTGCACCTGAAGGCGTGGCCCGCCGCTGGAAAGCTCCTTTCTCACCTGTTTGCAGACAGCAACCCTTGCCCATACTTGATTTTTTTTTTTTTTTAAAAAGAAAACTTTATAGTCTTTAGGATGATTGACTCTCACTTAACAGATAGAATAAATAAGCCTCTGCCCCAATAATTAAAGGAAACTCTCAAAACCAAAATGTCTCAAGAAGGTCCTTGCCTGGGTCCATCATTCTGTTTATTCTAAAAAGCAGTGAGTGCAGTGTAATGAGTAAGAGGAATGGAGGTCCTGGCACCAGAAGGCCAGGCTCCAATCCCAGCTGGGCCACTGAGAGTCGTGTGGCCCCAAACAAATGGCTTATCTCTCAGGCCTCCTGTGGT